AAAGCTGGGGTACAGCCCAGATATGGGGGTCAGAGGTTTCTCCTGAGACACTGAGGAGCAGAAAAGGTAAATTTACTGAAATGCATGAATTAGGTAGGGCTACAGCGATCAGGCCAGAAAGATCTGCTGTGTCATAAGAGTTGGCTTCCAGGCCAGGGCTCTAACTTGCGCTGCAGTGGCTGTGGATGGATTCAAAGTGCTGTGGCTTAACTTGTACCACCTGGGAGGCCCCTCAGCAGTGTACTGCAGTAGCCCCCATATGCCCTGCTCCCCAATATGTCTCTGGACAATGCTTCTGTAACTGGGTGGTCCCCAGGAAAAGGGGAGGTTCCAGGCTCCTGGCCCCACCCACAGGAGGGTGGAGCAGAGGAAAGAAGAATCTGGAGAGGAGACTGAAGTGGAAGAGAGGAGGATGGAGCCAGAAGGAGACCTTGAGGGAGCCAGAGGAGCAGAAAGACACACGGAGCAGCTCTTGCTTCTTGGCCCTGAACTGGGTGACACAGACATGGGTGAGACACCCGTGGGGAGGTGACTGTGGCAGCGTTTATCTTGATTTTGGCTTTGCTCTTTTCCTCCCAGACTCGTCTGGCCATTTATGACCCTTTTCTATGGGTCCCCGCTGGGACCCGCTTTAGACTTGTGTTGGGCTTTCAGGCTTTGCTTGGGCCGATCCCTTTTGGGTGGACTTTTACCCAGAGGGGATGGGTCACTTTGGGGGTCTAATTTAGAAACTATATTCTTTGTCGTTTCTGTATTGCACACTCATTTTATTGAAGTTCCTTTCTATTAATGATCTTTTATGTTTTTTCTTGGCATAATCTATTTAAAGCAGGAAGGTTTGGAGGTTCAGGGATGCCCCTCTCCCTACCCTGCAACACTATCACTCCTCACATCTCTGGCTGACCCCCAGTTTTTTGATGCAAAAATAAAAAAAAAAAAGACATTTTACAAATGTTCATTGAGTAAGGCCCCAGGGGGCTGGGGCAGGAGAGTCAAGGTGGCGAGCACCTGGGCTGTGGGCAGTGACTCATGTCCAAGCTGTCCATGAAGGGCCATCTTGGTCTCCAGGAAATGCTGATGGGTCACAGAGAAGTCATATTATAAAAATTTATTTCTACATACCAGAACTGGGATACAGGCCAGAAGTACAGAGGGTAAGAGGATTCACAGAGACAGAGTAGGGAGCAGAACAGGCCGAATGACCAAAATCCACTGCTGAGGAGAGCAGCAGACGGGACAGACTGATCCACCATGTGGGTCAGTTCCCTAACCCTGGGTCGAAATCTGCAGCAGACAGCTTCCTAGTGCAAAGACAGAATTCTTGAGCCAACAGGGAGGCCCCTCAAATAGGAATCTTTTAGGAAATAGTAACATTTGATACCTACAGCCTATCATACGAGGAGTCAATATTTAAATGTCAAACAGCTTTTAAAAAAAGACTTGTTCATGCATACAAGAACTGGGGTAGAGGTCAGAGATGTTGGGTAGAGACTGAAAGGATTCACCAGAGACAGAGTAGGGAGCAGAACACGCAGACTGGAACACGCTGCTGAGGGGAGCAGTGGGTGAGACAGGAGAGGGCTGCTGCACCCTGTGGGTCACTCCCTGGCCAGGGATCGAACTTTTGCAGCCATGGTTGAGGACGGCTTCACAGTGCTGCACTTTAACGCACTGCACCACCAGGCCCTCAAACAACAAGTTTTAGAAGAAATTCAACACTCTGCTGTGGGGTTGGTTAGTCAGGGCTCTCCACATAAACTAATAGATCAGGAATTCTGACAATGTAGTAGAAATAGAGCATCATAAACTCATCACCGTAAGTCATGCTATCTACTCCTCCCACAGCACTAGCTCCTTAAATCACACTTCCTCTCCAAGACAACGGAAGGTCAGAATTCTGTCAGGACACATATGCACTGCCTAAAGTATGTCCTTGAGGAATAAAACCTTCCTCTTAAAACCCTGCAACTTCACACTCTGTAAATGAACAATTCTTATGATCTAAAGTGAACACATCTTATGTTACATGCTACATGAGAGAGAATAAAACAGTTATCTGACACACACACAACATACTCATGTTGACATGAGGTAATCACGACAATGCGTCTCATCTCTGTTGGCTCATGGAGTCAAAATTGGGATTTCTGACTTTTTCACCCTTTTGCACTATGTGTTCACCATCCCTCGCCTTCAGTGAGCACCTCACCTCACTATGAGTGGGGTCCCCAAACCCCATTGTCCTCAGGGTTGCTGCCCTGGTGCTCAGGGTTCCTGCTTGTCAGCTCAGCTAGGGCCAGGCAGGGGACTCTCAGCAAGTGCAAAGCCCCAGTGTGAGGAGCCTAAGGGACGTGACACCAGTGCTGGTGAAAACAGCGGGCAGGTGACAGATAGGACATGACAGGCTTTGACGGGCAGTGACCCCTGCTTTACTCAATCCTGGCTTACACCCACACGTGCACAGCACACTCCACTCCTTGCTTACAGTACCACCTTTGTGCCTGATGTGACACAAGAGGCAATGCCCTTGGATGGGCTGCACAGTACGTCCAGGTAGGCCCGTCCTGCATTCTCATTGTGCTACGTTGACCCATGTGATCTTCCCTCAGTCCACCCTCCAACACAGCCACCCTCCGCCACCCCCAGGACACAGTGCTGCTGCTTCCGTGGGGAAGTAACCCAAGCCTCCATGCCTGGAGGGTCTGGCCATTAACAGCGCTGCCAGCACTGGGTGTTTGTTACATTCCCATAGACATACCCCTGGGCATAGTCATGCAGAAGGAAACCTTGAGTCTCCTGTACCACAATGTCCTTACGTAGGGCTCTTGTCCAATCTGCGGCAGTGGGCAAAGCCAGTCACACCAGAGGGCCCAACTCCCCTCTCCCCTTTTGGCCTGTTGACTGAGGCAGGACAACCTGACGTGATCGGGCAGCAGCTGGAACTTCCAGGTGAGTGGACTCCCAGCTGTGTCTGGGCGGACACATTCTTCCTGTGGGAATTCTAGGTCAGCGAGCAGCATGATGCAGGGACAGTGAGCAGAGCCACTTCCAGACTCTCACATTCATTTTTGGGCCCCTGAATTCTGGCCATGGAGGAGAGAACAGCAGATTAGACAGAGTCAGCCCAGTCTCCTGTGCCAGCACTTTGATGTCTTGAGAAGGCTGAAGCTGTGCCACTGAGTCTTCAAAAGACCATCCCACCCTCCCTTCAGGTCAGCAGCTTCTGGACGATGGGTGATATGACAAGAAAGGTGAATTCCACAACTTCAGGTGTATAGGACTTCTTGCTTTGCTGAGGAATTTCCTTGGCAGTCCCGTTTCCTTGGCCAGAAACAATTAAAACGCCATGACACCGGGGTTGGTTCTCTGTAAATCCACAATGGCAGTTGTTTCATTTTTTAAAAAACTTATTTATGCATATAAGAACTGGGGTGTAGTCACTGGTATGTGGGGGGTGAGAAGATTACAAGACACAGAATGGGAAGCAGAACAGGCAGATCTACAGAAGTGCACAAATGAAGGAAGTAGTGGGCAAAACAGGGGTGTGTGCAGCACCACATGTGGGTCACTCCCTGGTCAGTGTGGGACCCAGGTCACTGGGGTCGCATGGTAGCACTCAGACTCAACCCCTACATCACCAGGGAAGCCCAGACTGATAGCAGTTTTGGCAAATCATGTGTGCAGGGAAGTCCAGTTGTGCCCTATCGCTACCCCTGGGTCATGCCTGCCATTAACCAAGGCACACCATTCAAACATATGCTGCACTATCACTTTCATCTCTTTGGCTCCTCCCAGTAGAAAAACTTAAAGGCTATATATTTCTCAAAAACTGAATTCTACTCCAGCTAATAAATACCTAAAGGAGTCTCCAATTGCCTTGAGTTTTAATCTTTCTTCATTCAAGTCCCCTTGGCTAACTGACACCTAATACCATATTTAAGAGCTACTTTATCTTTCCTTCCTTAAAATGTATCACTCTCGTACATTTAACATTCATTACAAATGAGGCCCTTTGGTCCTCCACCAAAGTTAAAATTAGTCGTCGAGAACATTTCACATAGCAGTGTGAGCTTGCAAAAACACAGATAGAAAAAATCATGTCTAATGTGAAACCTTCCATGCTGACACTGTCCCACCCTTCAGCTCCCATGATAAACCTGGCAGATCACATGTACTCCAGGGCCACAGAATACGAAAAGACCTGGGGGCTAGTTTTCAGTGACATGGCTGGATTAATGTTTACCACTTGTGCTTAAAGTATCCTGGCCTGGGAGCATCCCTGGTGGCCTGGGGATTAAGTCTCAGCACTATCAAGCTACTGCCACCCACAATGGCATGATGGATCCCTTTGACCCACATGGCACAGCAGAACTCTCTGCTCTCACCTGATGCACCCCTCAGCAGTTTATTTCAATAAGCCTTCCTGCTCTGCTCCCCACTCTGTCTCTGGTGAATCTTCTCATCACCCCACACCTCTGGCCTAGATCGCAATTTTTATGAATGAACAAATCTTTCAAATCTCCTGGCTGAAGATAAGCTACAGGATCCATTAATTTTGGAGGGACTGGGGGAGGGAAGCAGTTTGCATCAAATGAAAAAGGAATACTGAAATTGTGAAATAATGCTCAGTCTCAGCTAATTAAGGCTTTAGTTCTGTGTGATTTCTCTGGTGGTTAGTAAGATGCTACTTCTGGAAGAATATTTCTATATTTTCATTACAATCACATCATTTCTCTCCTGTGTGAATTCTCTGATGTACTTTGAGGGATGACTGACCCGAGAAAGGTTTCCTACATTTTTTACATTCATAGGGTTTCTCTCCTATGTGAATTCTCTGGTGATTCCTGAAGGATGAGTGCCACAAGAAAGTTTTTCTACATTCTTTGCATTCATAGCGTTTCTCTCCTGTGTGAATTCTCTGATGTACCTTGAGGGATGACTGACTTGAGAAAGTTTTCCTACATTCTTCACATTCATGGGGTTGTTCCCCTGTGTGAATTTTCTGGTGCTTCATAAGGTATGACTGCCACAAGAAAGTTTTCCCACATTCTTTACATTCATAGCGTTTCTCTCCTGTGTGAATTCTCTGATGTATCTTGAGTGCTGACTGCCACAAAAAGGCTTTCCCACATTCTTTACATTCATGGAGTTTCTCTCCT